TCTAATTTATTAGAATCATAGCCCCTATCTATAAACTGATCCTTAAGAGTATTGGCCTGATGTTCAAAAGAAATAAGGTCTGTACAGTTCCGTCTTATCCGGATAAATTGACCCTTGGGGACATTATCGAGCCAAGGTAAAAAATGGCAGCTATCCATGTGGATATAACTATTGACGTCCACGGGTTTAAAGAACGTACGAGTACTAATTTTCTGATCCTGTATAAATATCTCTAAATCTAAAAAGTGGATACAATCTGATTTGATTTCCTGAGTTAAATGTATATTCCACTGGTTGGAATTTAAAAATGTAATATAATCCAAAGCAGAATTCCTATCACCTTTCCAAATTAAAAAAATATCATCGATATATCTTTTGTATAGGACCAGGTTCGCATTCCAGTTATGCGATGAATATACATATCTGTCTTCCCAGTATGACATAAACAGATTCGCATAACTGGGTGCGAACCTGGTCCCCATGGCTGTTCCCCTACATTGCAAGAAAAAATCATCTTCAAACCAAAAAAAGTTGTTATGGAGGATAAGGGATATCCCCTCCATGACAAAATCCACCTGTTCAACAGGATACAAAGTAGAGGATTCTAGAAAAAAGCGTGTGGCTAAACATCCTATTTCGTGATCAATACATGTATACAAACTCGTGACGTCACATGTAATGAATAGGTACTCATCTTTCCATACAAAATCTTTTAAAATTTGTAGTAGGCTCATAGAGTCTTTCAAATAAGATGGACTCTTTTTGACTAATGGTTGGAGGTGTATATCTACATATTTCGATAAATTCGATAAAAGCGATTCCACACCTGAGACAATTGGTCTACCTGGTGGATTGGATGCATCCTTATGTAACTTTGGTAAAGTATATATCACAGGGATTTTAGGTGACTTAACATTTAAAAAGGTATACTCTTTCTGGTTTATAATGCCTTTAGAGAAACCTTTCTCCAAGTATTTCATAAATTTCTCATTTATATCTATTTGTGGATTTTTCTCTAATTTCTTATATGTGTTATTATCCTCCAATTGACGTCTAATCTCTGAAATATATTTATCTCTATCCATTAGAACTACACCTCCTCCCTTGTCTGCTGGCTTAATTACTATTTGAGAGTCTTTCCCTAAATTTTGCATGGCCTGTCTCTCCTTTTTTGTCAAATTATCTCTTTTATTTTCTTTCATTAGTTTAATATCATTGGCACATGCTCTTTCAAAAACTTTCATGGAATTGGATTTTAAATGTATAGGGTAAAAAGATGACTTTGGTTTTAACTCTGTATGATTAAAACGAGATACATCCATATTAGTATTTTGATCTTTCACTTGATTTCGATCAAAAAAATTTTTTAAGCATAGTCTCCTCATAAACCTATTAATATCCGTATATGCCTCAAATTTGTCCATAATGCAACTAGGTGCAAACTTAAAACCTCTATTTAAAACATTTATTTCATTTGCATTGAGAACTCTTTTTGATAAATTAAAAATTCTTATTTCCTCATGATTTTTTCTTTTCGGTCTCTCCAATCTCTTTCCTCCTCTATTTCCCCTTCTTCTACGTCCCTGTATCGTCTTTTTTGGGGTATAGGAGTCCGGGTGGGAGGTTCCCTCCATCTCTTCTCTAAAAAAGGGGTCACTCTATGATTGTCCAGATCTCTAATTGGTTCAAACCGATTAGATATCTCGATTTCTCTTCTTAATCTCGGAGGTGGACTGTTTTCCCTCCTATATCTTAGAGGAAAACTATCATATTTCGTTTGGAAAGGTGATAGGAATTCTGCTTTGGATTATATTACATTTTTAAATTCCAACCAGTGGAATATACATTTAACTCAGGAAATCAAATCAGATTGTATCCACTTTTTAGATTTAGAGATATTTATACAGGATCAGAAAATTAGTACTCGTACGTTCTTTAAACCCGTGGACGTCAATAGTTATATCCACATGGATAGCTGCCATTTTTTACCTTGGCTCGATAATGTCCCCAAGGGTCAATTTATCCGGATAAGACGGAACTGTACAGACCTTATTTCTTTTGAACATCAGGCCAATACTCTTAAGGATCAGTTTATAGATAGGGGCTATGATTCTAATAAATTAGAAGAAGAAATTAGGACTGTTAAAGGAATAAATAGAGAGTCTCTTTTAACATATAAATCTAGGGAGAATAAAAAAAGGGATGACAAAATTCCAATGATTTTTAATTACAGTAAGGAACATAAAACCCTCAAAAGAGTGATCAATAGAAATTGGCACATACTACAGCAGGATACGGATATTCTACCCTATATTGATAATAAACCCAAAATTGTATTTAGGGGAGCAAAAAATCTTAGACAAATTCTAACTACCAGTTATTTGGATAAACCTAAAAATAATTTTTTGAGCACTTATAAGGATAACAATAAAGGTTTCCACTATTGTGGTAACTGTATGGGATGTAAAACTTATAAAAATAAATCAAAGAAATTAGAGAGTTTTAAATCAAGAGTAGGAACATACCATTATAAAATCGATTCCCTTATTACATGCCATTCGAAAAATGTAATATATGTTCTCGTATGTCAAGAAGAGGACTGTACACTTGAGAAAGACTTATTGTCGAAACGCGTTGTGTTTTAAATGTTATATATTTTTACATTTTTATTTATCTGGTTATTTTATTGAAGTAAATACTTTTTAAAGCTGAAGAATTCTTTTGGTCCATCTTTCCTACATCTGGAATCCAGCACCAGTGTCTATAGGAAGACTGTGGGGACATCTTGAATAGCCTGGAAAAGCTGATTTTCCACATGCAAACAAGCTAGAGCCTGCTATTTTAGGCTCTATTTATTGTGAGTGACCCAATACCTTTGCTTCTATCACTTTTACTATTTACAGTTTTACACTATGTATGGACTTTTGTGTTTTACAGATTAAGTTCCTACTACTACTACGAATAAGTATTTATATTTTGTACTATTTATTCTATTTATTGCACCCCCCACTTTGTTATTCTGTTTTATCACGATTTGGGAGTGTCTTTGAGTGATTTTGAGACACTGGGGGTAGTTGCTATTCTGTGTACAGCGCCAATCCACCTATATTTATTTCCTTTTGGGGGAATATTTCTTGTTTGTTTACAGTGGTTCTATCAACACTGCCACCTACAGGTCTGTCAAGTACATTGACAATTTTCATGGGGTTTTACAAACACCAAAACACTTACACCTATAGGTCAACAGACAAACAACATTTCACATACCAATCAGTATCCAACTACACTGCCACCTATAGGGCACTCGGCAGATCTCCAGTGCACTTGCATTTTGCAACACCATGTTCACTGACCCCTACCATTCAATAAGACATACAACAATTCACATAGCAAGCACTATATCAACATCAGGTATAAATACATATATTATTACACAGTAGCAGACGCGTCTGTATATACGTAACTGGTAATATAGTTCACATACATTTTTCACAGCACGCTGCTCACGCAACAGACTTTCCCCTAGCAAGGGGACATACAACATACAAGGTGGGGACAGACCACATTTTCACTTGTACATACAGCACTTAATGGGTTAAGATTGATACATATTTAACCAGTATGGCTACGATGTTTAATATTTACACATCATGGCACTTTACTTTTCACATATACTGTACGTATTAAGATAAGCTTGGTCTATGCCATATTTCCTTATGCCATACGGTTTTATCCATTCAGGTTACAGTTACTACTAAAAAACCTATACGGATTGTCAGGTTCAATACCATACTACCAGGTACATACACCTGCTCACGTAGTTATCCATCTCTTACCTTCCCTGGAATAGTAATAGTGTACTGGCAATTAGGGTTCTAGGGCCCAATAGGTATTACCCCCTTTTTTCTCTGCATTATGCTTCGGTTAGTGGTCCCGCGAGGCCAACACCCCGCCTCACACTCGGAGGCATACACCCCTCGGGCCACTCGTGAGCTAGCCGCCTCGCATTGTATCATAGAGAGGGCCTCACCTGTCACTCCCCTTCCTATTTTCTGGTTACTGTCACCGAGAGGCCAACATCCTGCCACAACGTTCGGTGGCCACACAAAATCCCCTCGCGCCAAGCATAGATAGAGCCTCTCAAGCCACTTGGCAACTAGCAGGGCCTCACCAGTCACCAAAAAACACCAAGCCTAATCGTTTCGCCTTACGGCTTAGCTAGCAAGCCAGTACAAGAACCCTGGGTACAAATAATTGCATCTTTATTGTTATTTAAGTATTTTTCCAAAAGATGGTGAAGAATCACCTCTTCCTAGCACCCCGGCTAGAATTGATACACCTTCAAGCAGAGGAGATGTTGCTAGTCCTGCAGCAATCAGATCCTGGACGATCCCACACATTACCACCGACCTAAGGAGGTGACAAATCCCCTACCCTGCTACAGCAAGGAAAGCAGAGTTATTCAAACTCCTCCATACATCAACGGACAACACGGAGGCAGGGGAAGGCCCAGCTACATCAACTCAGGTGACACCCAGGCTATGCTAGCCTCACTCATAAACTCATGAGCCAAAAATTTTTTATGACAGACTGGCAATCTCGAGTTGGTCACCACAGCCCTCACAAGGCTGGGCCTCACGTTACTGTACAACCAGCACCAACCGAAACTCGGTTACCTGGTACAATCAATTCTTATGACACACAAGATGTTAACCCTGCATGTATGATCCCAGCACATTGGGGAAGCAAGGCATATATATGTATGATGATGTATCTGTGATGGTCAGATTCAGGGATTCCAGGTAAATCGGGAACTGACCATCTCTTGGATGGGTTGGTATTTGGAATATGTAGAGATGTTTATTTTTGCAGGTACCCATACAGAAGGGGTTCTGTCCCAAACAAATGGACGAGCACTCTCAGGCTCCAGGTACCAGCACCTCTGAACTACCAGAGACGTTTGATATGAGTAGTTGCATTGCATATAGACTGTTGCATATATGTTCAATGGTTCAGGGCACATGACAAACCATGTGGCCCAATACAACTTACAAATAACGTACTCACCATCTGTACACACCAATGCATTTTCAACACTACTGACTCATCACCCTTCCAGACTTGTAATAGATTTACTAAAGCTCTGGAGCTTCAAAGGGCTCCCATATAGGTATCATAAACACACCTTCAAGGAATATAGCATCCCCTCACTTACAGTCAGCACAACAAAACCATTGGCTGAAAACACACTCATAGCCAAGATTTGCAGAGTGGTCTTCCAATCTCCACCATTTACAGCATGGCACCAAACACACACATTGGTATTGTCACAAGGAATCTTCCCTTAAACAAAGACTAACCATAGACTTATTGGCACCACACACCTCCGCTACTCCAAGTCTCAACTCCCTTCTTACTATACAACACCATTGATCTACCTTTACAGCTATCACTCAAGCATGGGTTAAAGCTTGGTTAAGAAAGACCAATATCATCAACTCAGTAAACAGCTACCATCTACCCTACACACTGGCACTTACATGGCATAAATTGGGCAATCCTTTCCCTGCTCAACTTTCGAGCTACAGATTAACCTACTATCGATATTCGCAGATACTCTGTGCTGGTTATGATAACATAGCCAGAGGCATTACAGTCATACACTATCTAGAAGACTTCTTGTTGCTCAAAGAAAGCATATTTTTCACTAGAAGCCTCATGGCAGCTTAGTCTGGTTGACCACTTGGGCGTCCCAGTACCCCATAAGAAACAGAAGGCGCAGACACTATCATCACATTACTGGGCATATGACTTGAGTCGGCATCCATACACGCAAGTTACCACAAGACAAATAGGGAACATTCTCAACTAAATCAATCACTACCTCCTGCTTAGTACTTACAACTACAAGGAACTACAATCCCTACCAGGTTCCTTAATTTTGCCATGCCAATCATACCACAAGACCACGCTTTCACATCCAGAGTACTTTCCCCTTTTTTCCACACTTCCAACATGACGATCAGAGGAGGTGCCTAGACACCTCAGCAACAGCAGACCTGCACATGGGGGGGGATTTCTTAACCACTTGGCATTGTAAAAGCATGTTCCTTCCAGGATTGTCTGACACTTCTCCAACCAGATGGTCAGACGCAGCGTATACCACGGGTTTGGCAGCGATCTACCGGGAACAATTGCTTTGGGGCTGTTGGCCATGGCATCCAGGTTTGGAAATTTTTCCACCACTTCAGCCCCTTTGGGAGATCTACCCCATTGTAGCAGCTGCTGTGGCATGGGGTAAATCATGGTCAGGGTCATCAATCCGTTGTTACTCAGACAACTAAGCACATCATATCATCAACAAACGCCACTACTCATCCATAAGTTCATGATGTTTCTGGGGAACTCACTTGGTTGGCCACTTATCACATTTCACTTTCATGTACCAGACGGGGGTATACATCCCTGCCGACAACTGTCTCATTTATATTCCAGGCATGTTCATCATACGCTTCCTACAGCCGCCCATACAGTCACGTCCACTCTTTCGTTCCAGAGACAAAATCATGGATTAGACATACTCATGCAGCATAGCATGCACTATCCCACCTAGCACTTTCGTCCCATACTTGTAGAACGCATAACACAGCTTTTCACCTGGCTTAAAGAATCTCATTGGAACACGACATAGCTCAACCTGTGTCACAAAATTTCTCCTAAGTTTTGCTTATTTTTGCCACCTTAAACTTAAACTATCTCATACACCATTAATTATATATTTTACAGGCATTCAACAACACATGATAACCTATGGCCAAAACTACCATAAACTTCATGCTATCATACCAGAAAAGAATATACTCAGAGGTTTTCAGGAATCCATTCCCCCACGTTCCTCTCAGAGATTACCAATAGCCATCCAACTGTTCATCCTTATCGGACCTATTAGATCTACAACCATTCAATTATACTACCAAGTCGGCCATTACCAGCCATGCACATTGCCTTTTATGCCTTTCTCAGGCCAGAGAATCCACTACCATCACCACCACTCAGACAGATCATTGTCTTCAACGATCCCACGTACGTAAACACATATATCATTACCTATTGGCTCTACCACATTCCGAAATGAGTCAACATGCACCAACAGTAGAGATAACATACTATCCTACCCACAACAAATGGTGCCCACTTTCGGTCCTAGATTCCTACCTTCAAAATCCTTTCAGGAATTAAATACTGTAATGCATTTAAGGAAATGTCTGGTTAATTTGTATATATTTGTTGACTGTATTAAATCTTTGATTATTCATTTTTGCCCTCTTTATTTACAGGCCTACCGTATCGTCGGTATCGGCACACCACAACCGACTTGCTCCCTTTACACTATCCTAAGCTTATGCTGGATCCTTACTCCATATACGGCTATTTTGCCCCTTACACAAATATATATATATATATATATATATATATACACACACAATATATATAGTTATTATATATACATGTATAATTTAATTATAAGTGTATTTTTATATTAATATAAGTACATATTAATATAAAAATTCACTTAGTATGACATATAATAATTTTTTTAAATTTTATTTTACACTAGCAGGGAGACTGCCTGTCAGCACAGGCAGGCCCCCTACAGGCGGACACATGGACACCTATTGTGACCGTGTGATCGCTCTGTTGAGCGATCACATGGCCACAGGGGTCCTAATCCGCCATGGTGAGACTTTCTGGGCTACAGGCAGTCTCCCCACAACAGGAGCACCGACGATCGCTGCCGGGGGAACGACGGCGATTGGGTAAGTACATCTGACCGTTAGGACGGTTCAGGACCGTCACCGGTGGGCAACGCAAAAATGCCGATGACGGTCCTGAACCGTCCTAGGTCGTTAAGGGGTCAAAGATAAACTCCCATTTAATAAGATAAGCAATAAAAAGAATAAAAACAAAACAAATATAAGAACCTAAGGAGAGAAAAAAAGGTAGCAAGAGAGGTGAGGACGGACAAAAGCTTAATAGCCTGCCCTTCGGTGGGTCCCTGCTCAGATCTCAAGCTGGTTTTAGCTCAACTTGTGCCATTACAGAGAGAACATATCTGAAGCATATCAGACAGGTCCCACCCATACGGACAATCCAGATACGAAATGCCAGCAAGTTCCCTCTGCATGAGAGATACGGCAACCCCAGACGATCGTTTCAACCTTGTAAGGTATCATCAGTGAGGTATAGCCAATATCCCTCAAATAGCCTGCCCTTTGGTGGGTCTCTCGTGCAGAGGGAACTTGCTGGCATTTCGGATCTGGTCTGATGTGCCATTACAGAGAGAACATATCTGAAGCATAAGATGAGCTAAAACCAGCTCAAGTTCTGCGTGGGGACCCACCGAAGGGCAGACTATTTCAGGAGCTGTCTCTTCTCAGAATACTCTTGCGACCCGTTTTTTTTTTTGCTCTCCATAAATTTAAAGGGTAATCCAGACGTGGACCCCTTGCTCACGGTGCCTAGAGAGATATCAGCTATGCCTCAATTGATGACACCCATAACAAGGCTGAAAAGATAACTGCTGTGTCTCGCTTGGGGGGTAGGGTGCTGTGTGTTGGGGGGTGCTGTGTGGGGGGGTGGGGTGTTGTGGAGGGGAGGTGCTGTGGGGGGTAGGGGTGCTGTGCTGTGGGGGTAAGGGTAAAGATACATTTAAAAAGTTATGTTAATTCTGTTTGGGGATAGATTGCTGTGTCAGGATAGGATTGCTGGGGGTTGGGGGGTGCTGTGCTGGGGGTTAAAAACCTGTGTTGGAGGTGCTTGGGGGTATGGGTGTTGGGAGGGAGGTGGGGTGCTGTGGGGGGGAGAGGTGCTGGGGAGAGGTGCTGTGGGGGTAGGGGGTAAAGAGCACATTTAAAAAAAAAAAATAGTTATATTAATTCTTGCTTGGGGGATAGGGGTGCTGTGCTGGGGGTTTGGGTGCTGTGGGGGTGCTGTGGGGGGAGAGGTTGTGGAGGGAGTGGTGCTGTGGGGGGGTAAGGGAAGCTGTGTGGAGGAAGGGGGTGCTGCTGTGGGGGTAGGGGTAAAGACACATTTAAAAAAGTTATATTAATTCTGCTTGGGATAGGGGGTGCTGGGGAGAGGTGTTGTGGAGGGGGAGTTGTGGGGGTATGGTGTTGTGGAGGGAAGGTGCTGTGGGGGGTAGGGTAAAGATACATTTAAAAAAAGCTATATTTAATTCTGCTGGGGGATAGGGGTGCTGTGGGAGGGGGGAGGGGTGCTGTGTGGAGGGTATGGGTGTTGTGGAGGGAGTGGTACTGTGGGGGTAGGGGTGCCTGTGGGGGGTGGTTGTGGAGGGAGGGGCACGTGGGGGAGGTAGGGGTACAGTGGGGGGTATGGGTGTTGGGGGGCGGGAGGGTGCTGGGGGTGAAGATATATAATTTATAGTAATTCTGCTTGGGAGATAGGGTGCTGTGGGGGGTAGGGGTGCTGTGCCATGGGGGGTAGGGGTAAAGACACATCCCCCCTCCCTTCCTCTTACCTTTGGTAAAGGAGGGGGGACACAGCAATCCCTGGTGGTCCGGTGGTGGTACTAAGCAGCTCTCCTATCCTCCCGCGCGATGCTGTGTGGAGAGTTGCCATGGTAACGCGCGGCAACGCTCCACACAGCTTGCTCGCAGGAGGATAGGAGAGCTGCTTCCTAGAGTCCTCCCCCTGCCTCGCGACCTGGAAGCAGAGTAGGCGCCTGCCGTTTCGGGCAGGCAGGTGTCTGCCGTTTCGGGCAGGCAGGTGCCTACTCTGCAGACAGCCAGTGGCCCCCTCTCCCGGCGACCTATGGCCACGTGCCAACAGAGAGGGCCTGGCGTGCCACCTGATCTAGGGGCATCCTATTTGAAGTTACTATCAGATCTCACTAAAGAACTTTATCATTTTTGATTGGATGGGAACCTCTTCCTCCGGGTGGAATATCTTCCTGGTTCAGACAAGCCTGTTGTGGATTGGTTCTCCCGCCACTGGAGAGACTTGAGCGATTGACAACTAGACCCTTGCACATTCCACCATTTGCATCTGCTCTGTGGTCCACTATCCCTAGACCTGTTTGCATCCTGCTTAAATCATCAGACCGACACGTTCATCGCTTGGCTGCTCTGAAACCCAGCATTCAACTTTCATTGTCACACCCTTCAGGATCTCTTTTGATTCGTGGCCTGGACCATTTCATGGG